GGGCAGAGCTCATAATTTTCAGTTACTTTCAGTTATTAAATACCTTGTCATATTATAAGTCTCAATTTAAAAATCAATTTGATTGGAACTTCCCTGGTGGCACAGTGGTTAAGAATCCGCCTGCCAATGCAGGGGACACGGGTTCGAGCCCTGCTCCAGGAAGATCCCACATGCCGTGGAGCAACTAAATCTGTGTGCCACAACTACTGAGCCTGCACTCTAGAGCATGCGAGCCAAAACTACTGAGCCCGCGTGCCACAACTACTGAAGCCCACGCGCCTAGAGCCGGTGCTCTGCAACAAGAGAAGCCACCTCAATAAGAAGCCCAGGCACCACAACGAAGCGTGGCCCCTGCTCACGGCAACTAAAGAAAGCCTACGTGCAGCAATGAAGACCCAATGCAACCAAAAAATAAGTGAATACATAAAAGTCAATTTGATTTAAACTTTGCCAAGCCCTACTCCATCTCCCTCCTCTGGAGCATGGGGGTCTGGACACTGGGAGCTGACAACTGGGTCAGCCTAGACATGGAAACCTTCAAGTCTCCCTCAACTCACTTTCTCTGCTTGTTAATTTTCAGGGTTTCCTTAGATAGGCTAAAATTGACCTCTAGTTGGTTTTAGACAGAGAAAATGCCCTATCTTAATTCATCATCTATCTTCAATGAGATTTGGTGTCTTTCATTGAACAGATGGTCTTAACTTTGATGTAATTAAGCCTAACACATTTGCCCTCTTCAGGTTTGTGGGGTTTTATCTTATTTTAAAACATGTGCTTCATCCCAAGTCATAAAGTCATGGCCTTACATTTTTAATTAGCTTTATCTTTCTCACTTTTCACATTTAGAGTTTTATTTCCTCTGGAGTTTTGTTATGGCAGGGTCCAACTTCATTTTTCTCCATCAGTTTCTCCACCATCTACAGCAGAGACCTCCTTTCTCAGTCATGACACTTTCTGGAGCATGTGCCAAGTTTCCTCCACCTGCAGGCATCTGGCTGGCTCTCCATTGCCCCATTGGTCTATTTTTCAGTTTCTATGCTAGTACCGTGGTTTCTATAATTATAGCTCTGAAATAGATCTAACTCTGTTTAGATGTTTCTCCAGTCCCCAGCCTCTCCAATTTGCTCTTTTTTTCTCAAACCTGTCATAGAATTCATGGACTATTATCCTTCAATATCAATTCTAGAATCAGATTGTCAAGGTCCTGAAAAAATCCCGCTGACATTTTATTTGGAATCGCTTGAACTTTAGAGGTCAACATAAGGGGAACTGACATTGTTATAATTTTTGACTCTTTCACTCTCTGTTGAATACAGATAAAAGAATATTTATAAAATGTGTATGGAGAATAAAGAATAACACAACCAACACCAATACCCTCAGCACCAAGCCTATAAAATAGTGCATTACCAGAAACTTGGAGGCTTCCACGTGATGATTACTGAATCTCAAACCAGGAAGGCTCTGATGCTGCTTTGGTTTTTCTCTGCTGGCTGGCATTTGCTCTTGGTGCCTCAGCTTCCCTGTGTGCAGGGTGATGTTCTAAGAGGACATGTTCTTTAGAGTGTTTTTTTTTGTGGGAGTTCGCTGAAGCATGGCTTGAAAGTGGTTTCCTTCAGTCAGAATCTATATTTGCTTCTGCCAGATACCTGGACATAAAACCAACCCAGGACCTCTTTAAATGACATTCTTGGCTCAAGTTTTTTTAACCACCCAGACAGTGTGAATTCAAGTTGCAAGTTCACATGAGGGCAGGTGTTCCTAGTTTATCGTCACTCGGAAGGTGTGGTCCTTTCTGGGAGGTATAGTTTTTTGCAGGAGGTTTCCTCTTGGGCTCTCCTCCTTGGGCAGGCCCTGGGTTTTGCCTTTCGTCTTCTGCACCCATGAATGAGGCTGTGAAAACCAAAGCTCAGTTTCACTGGGTTTGGCCTATGGCTTTGGGGCAAAAGTCATCTTCTGGGCTTTGCTGATGGCTCTGTGTTTTAGCCCTCCCTTGGGTTTTGCACTCTGAGGAGTCTATTTTCTTGCTAGCTCACCCATGCATTTAAAATCTCACAGGTTTAGTTATCTTCAGCAAGGTGGGAAAGGGGATCTAGTCTTCCATACTGTAGGAAGCCAAATGTTGAGAACTGACTTTTTTACATTGTTTTAAGTTGCCTCATCTAAGAACAACGGTATATCTGTACATTAATGTGGGTCTTCTTTTGTGTTCTTAAGTATAGTTTTATTATTTTTTCCTTACATGTTTTATGCACTCTTCATTAGATTATGTCTTATAAATCTTGGTTTACACTACAAGAAAAAATATACATATATGTGGGGGAGGGAGGGAGGGAGGGAGGGAGAGCATGAGCTGTTTTTCAGATTTATAAAACTTTTCAACAATACAGAAGAATGTAAGAAAGTTTTAAGAAAATCATAAACCCACCATCAGCAGAAATAACAGCTACTACTTTTTGATGTATGCTGTTGTAAACATTATTCTTATACATGCACCTGCTTTGCACAAAGAGAGAGGGGGCAGGTTTGCATTTCAAATGGCTCATTCTGTAAGCAGGATTGTAGGAAAGAAGAAAGTCAAGGGCAACACCTTGGAGGCCCACCACGATTTAAAGAGAAGGCAGAGGAGGGGACCGGCAGTTATGGTCAGAGAGTTAGCAGGAGAATGCAGAGAGAGCCCATTGTGATCCTGAACTTGGGCCCCAGTGCAGTGCTTCCATGTCACAGAGCAAGTTCATAGCCATGCGTTGATATCAGGGACAGCACGGGCCTAACACAGCTCGTGCTAAGGATATGGCCCCGGAAGGTGCAAGTTATTTGTCCAGGACTTGCAGGGAGGCCTTCCTGCTGCCTCCTTTATGCCTCTCTTCCTCCCCTCCACAGGGTAATTCTGGCAGTTCCCTTGTCTGCCAAGTGAACCACACCTGGATTCAGGTGGGGGTGCTGAACTGGAGCTTTAGCTGCAGCCGGCACCGCTTCCCGGGCATCTACACCAGCACCTCCCACTTCACCGACTGGATCAAGAAACAGATCAGTGATGTGAGGTTCGTCAGTAGGGCCGGGCCAGGCTTCCTGAACCTGGTCTTCCTCACTGGCTACATTCTGCTGGTTTCCTTGGGCTCCCCGTGGCTCCTGTGAGTGATGTTTCCAGGGCAGTCCCTCCCGGAGGCCACTTCTTCCTCCCCTCTGTCTGTCCTCAGGAGAAGTGGAGGCTGGAGGAGCACAGGACATCAGGGCAGAGTACTCTGGGGGAGGGTCCCAGAGCCACTGTTTTTTTTCAGTTGTTCAGTGAAGATGCTCTTGAACTTTGTGTCACTGAAGTCATCATCTTTCTTCTTGATTATGGCCAGACCCTTCAAAGCCTCCCCTCCCCCAAGAGGCCTGGCTGTCCTCTCAGGGGAGCCTCCCTGATAGTCCTCCTTGTACTTGTGCTCATCATGTTCCCCTCTCTGGGCTACAGTTTCCTCTTCTGCCAAATATGGAGCTGGACTTTGTGATCTCACTCCCTGCTTAGTCATCCCAGCACTCCAGCAATTCCCAAGTCCCCATGACTCTCTCCTGGGTCTCTGACCCAACAGTTTTCCCTCAGGCCTTACTGTGAGGGTTGGCCTCTTCCCAAGAAACTCACAATGACCAGACCTGCACTTGTGGACCTGGTTCCAGAACATGTGGGTCTCTCCCAAGCCCTCATATCACCCTAGGAGTCTACAGAAACTGACTGGTTCCTCCTCTCTCCCTGGCAGGGATGGGTGATGATGGGGGGCAGGGAGGGGGGCAAGGCAGAGTGCCTGCTTAGGTGATTGTGTGAGGTGACGGCACCCTGAGCTCCTGAGCTGCCTTAGTCACCTCCATCATACTCTGAAGAGGAAGGACAGGCACAAGCTAGCCAGACTGAGAGGGCAGAGCTCTGCCACCCTTGTGGAAGGTAGCATGGGCACCCCCTCAGACCTGGTAGGCCTCAGGTTCACAGTGGCCAGCTACCCTTGCCCTTGGGGTCCAGAGTGTAGTAGGTGTGGTTTGCAGGAGATTGGAGTCCTGAATGGCCAGCCCCATCGTCTCTCCCAAGACAGCAGGACCTGGCAAATGTTAGACTGTCCTGGCTTGATTTAACTTTCACCTTACCTTTCATTAGGCTAGAATTTTCCAACAGCTTTGAACCAAAGCTTCTCATAGGATTTCCCCAGACTATTTTTTAATTGTATTATCCATCTGTGTCACTGAGCCATCAAAATGCTCCCCAAATTCCAACATACCAAGTGGCCTTCTGCTCCAGAAGGGCCCAAGGGTTACTATCCCTCTTTCTCTGTTTATGGAAACCTCACCTGTGTCATCTTTCTAAGCAGATGGATCTGTAAGGGAAGGGCATTTGCTGAATGGCGACAGTGCTTAAAATTATGCACTCTTGAAAAATTATTATTGAAAACATTTTAATCTGCTTAATTTCAGTGCCCTGGGGCAAGGCCCCACCGTAATTACCAGGCTGGAGGGCAGGTGGGATGGCTTGGAAATCCCGGATGCCAGCCCCAGGGGTTGGGCCTTCATCTCACCGGGTAGGGATGGAAGTGGGCTGCCGGAGGAGGAGGTGCAAGAACCGGCCGAGGTGAGGTTAAGGGACTCCAGGAAACTGCTGGGCCAGGCCGACTGGGAGACACGGGGTCCCAGGAGGGCAGAGGCGTGGCCAGAAGCCAGGCAGTCCTGAGCACCAGCAAGCCAGACAGAGGGCGGCTGGGACACCAGGAGCACCATCGCGGGGGGGCCACTGGGGGGCGCCGCGCGGACGGGGTCGGGAGCACCCGCGCCCACCACACCAAAGAAGCTGCCGCTGGCTGCCAATGGGGGGCGCCGTCGTGGGGCCAGCCCCGGGAGCGGCATCGCAAGAGGAGCGCCGAGGCTTATTCGCTGCTTCTCGGGGATGGAGCTCTGGTGTGGGGCGCTGGCCGGCTGGCGCAGTCCCCCGCAGCCCCCGAACGTCCGCCCTTGCCCACGCCGGGCTCCCGCTGATGCTACTGCTGTTACTGCTGCTGCTGCTGCGGCCCGCGGGTGCCGCCCCTCCGCTCCTCCCACAGGCCTGGCCTCCACCTCTGATCCTCTGCGTCCTTCCACAGGTTGCTTGGGCGCTGGCAAAGTGCCGGGGGCACTGTCCACGGATGCCCCCGCCGACCTTGACGCCCCCTGTGCCCCCAGTGCCACCTGTCCCTCAGGCGGACGTCGCTTCCCCCGGCAGGCTGCCACTAGCCAGCCGCCCAGGACCCTGCAGTACTCTGCTTCTAAAGCCGACGAGGATGAGTTCCTTTCCCGTGAGTACTGGGAGGAGGGTGCCCAAGCAGCCTGAGGACCTTAAGGGGCAGCGGAAGAAGGGGCACGGAGAGTGAGAGGGGACCTTCCTTTTACCAGTGCTTATTGAGCACCTGTTGTGGGCCAGGCCTCCCATGCTGTCGAGGTAGGAGGCAAGGAAGGTGGGGGGAGCCTGGGGTGTGCTCATGTCCTGCCTCCCTGATGGTCTATGGGGACAGCACCTCTCCATCCGGCCCAGTCCCTGATCCAGGCTCCCAGCCAAGGCCTTAGGGGGTCTCCAGCATGGCTTCAGGGAGCCTTCCCTTGTGTGTCTCGGGGCACACCCACAAGGCATTCTCTCCATCAGTGGCTTCCAAGCATGTTGAAGTAAGACCCACATAAGAAATACTTCTCATCCTGGAACTGAGTGCACAGAATTTAACTGTCGCAGAAAGTCACACACAGGACCCAGCTGCACCCTGCTGTGCTATTCCCTCTCCTGCGTTAGCCTTTACAGCCGCTGGTGACAGCCCACTTACATTGATCTCACGATCCTCTAGTCCATTTGGAACACGTAGGAGCGGGACTGCTGTGGTGTTAGATATGTGCATCTTCAGTTTAAAGAACTTTTTCTGTAAAATCTTTTCCAGGGTGACTGCACCCATTGACCTTCCCTCCAGCAGTGAGTGAACAGTCTGGGGCCCTGCTCCTCACCAACACTTGTTATCAGGGATATTTAGTTTTGCCTGGCAGGTGGTGGTGAGCAGAACCTCACTGTGACTTAAGTCCACACTTCCCTGAGGACTAATGGGGCTGAAGAGCTTCTGCATTTGTTTGCTATTGGGGTTTCGTCCTCAGATGTATGTGTTCTTGCACACTACCCATTTTTCTCTTAGGTCACCTGCCTTTCTCTCACTGAATCACAGGAGAAGGATCCTAGAGGAGGGGGAGGGGTCTTCCTTGGCTGAAGTAAGGGAACCAGATGGAAACACAAATGGGTTTGTGAAGGGCCTGGCCAGAGCTGATGTCTGCTTGACCAGGACAAAGGAGCTAGTGGCGCACCAGGCTGGTCAGCTGGGAACGCCCTGGGGCCTAAGCTGTGGGACCAGAGAGAGGGATACCTGGGGAGTGCTGAGGCCCTTCTGAGGCTGGAGACCCCAGTCCTCATGTGAACAACATCATTATGTGATGACCAATGAAGAAGGAGAATCATTGGATGGGTGCAGGCCATCTAGAGAGGTGGGAGATCAGGCTGAGGGGAGGAGGAGGGAGAGGTGCTGTGGGATGTAGCTGGAAGGGCCCATTCGTTATCAGGCTCCTTTCGTTTTCCTCCTTAGCCTGTGGCTTCTCCTATGAGCGGGACACCACCCTCAGGGATCCGGAGGCCATGGCTCGGCGGTGACCGTGGATGGTCAGTGTGCGGGCCAATGGCACATATCTGTGCAGGCACCCTCATTGCCTCCGAGTGGGTGCTGACCGTGGCCCACTGCATGATCCAGTGAGTCGGGGCCTAGATGGATGGGTGGAAAGTCATTGGAGCCACCAGGGCCCCAGTCATCTTGCCAGCTGGCCCATCAGTGGCAGACACCATAGTCCTAGCCCCACCTCACCCTAGCTCTGAGCAGGTGGGGGATGAGTCCTGCAGATTCCTTCCTGGGAGCTGGGGGTTTCCTCCCCTCACCTGGCCCCCTCCAGTCCTGTGCAGTCATTCCATAGATAGGAAACGGAGGCTTGCAGCCACTGTCTAGGCCTCCTTCCTCCTATCCGCAGAAAGAATGTCCTAATTCTTCTGCTCCACACCCTTTGTTTCACTTACTCATTCCTTCCTTCATTCAGCCAACAGCCTTGGCACTCTTTGAAGCCAGGCCTGGCCTGGGCACTGGGGGCAGAAAAGGGCTGCACCACTCCTCTCAGGTTGCTGGGGAAGACAGACAAGAAGATAGATGCTCACAGGGGAGTCTGGTCAGGGTGGGAATGAGAGAGTGGGCATGCCCATGTTCTGGGGCCAGGGAGCGGCCTGAGGGTCACATCTGGCCATGAGGGCTGACCAGTGGAGAAGCGAGCTCCAAGCCTAAGGGACACGCTGAGAAAGTAGGCTGGAGGGCAAGGCAGCGCTGATTGCACAAGGTCTCTGTCACTTCCAGGGCCCAGCATGGGATGCTGGACAGAGTCCAGAGTTTGGAGCCAGAGAAAACTGGGTCCACGTCCCAGCTCCACACTTCTTAGCTGTGTAGCCTTGAGTCAGTCACTTGAGCCCCATTTTCCCTCTCCATAAAATGACGGGTTGTTGTGAGGACTGGACCACACAGTGTGTGTGCAGGGCCCCCTTCACATCTGTTGTGAGGAGTGGGCTCTGGGGCTTGAAGCAGGTGGGTGGCCTACCTGGATTTGCTCAGGGTGCAACAGTGTGGTGGAGGGTAGGGGGTGCAGGCTGGGGTGGGGTTCTTGGAGCTGATGGAGGACTCTCCTTGCTGTTCCCCTAGGAGTGATGTTACCTATTCAGTGTGGGTGGGGAGTCCATGGGTTGACCAGATATCCAAGTCTACTGTCGACGTCCTGGCGCAGCATGTCATCGTGAACAGCCATTATCGGTCCCATCGGTACTGGTCCGGGGTCGGCCGGGCCAATGACATTGCCCATTAAGCTTGAGCGGCCACTCAACTACAAGTATGTCTGGCCCATCTGCCTGCCTGGCTTGGACTCTGCGCTAAAGGACCACGCCCTGTGCACCGTGACAGGCTGGGGACTCCCCAGGGTTGATGGTGAGTCGGAGCCTCCCCACAGCAGGGTGGGTGGTGTGGGAGAGGACCTGGGTGCAGGCCAGGGTCTACCGTGGGCAGATATTTCTGAGACACCTCCCCCAGGGACCCCATCCCCACCCCCATCAGGCTCTCATCTCTGAGGTCTCTTTCCCTTTGAGGGTCTCAGCAGTGAATGTATCATGGCCATTTAGGCCTTAGGGGACCCAGATTGCCCTTGAACCCTCAGGCCCAGGCCAGGGTTGTAAATAGGACTTCCTTGAAGGTAGAGGGGGCACAGAGTAGTATCTTGCTGTCTGCACACAATCCCAGGGCATCCGTGTCTTGAAGCAGAACAGCCAAGGTGAGAGGAGCAGGATTCTGTGTCTGTAAAAGGCTCCCCAGAAGATCCCATGTGGCTGGCTAAGGGCAATCTGCACCCAGAAGGTGGGAGTCACTGAGGGTCCACTCATGGCTCCCTCCCACAGCAGTGGCCCTCAATCCCTCATCATCCCAATTTAGGAGCCCAAAGGGTAGGAGTGTTGTCCCAGGGCCGTCCAAGGGACCATTTCCTTATGAGCCCTAGGAATGTCCATTTCCTTCAGGGAACCCCTATTCTTTTCCCACAAGAGAGGCGCCCTTCCTTGTGGCCTCACAGAGCCAGCTTGCCTGAAAGCACCCACAGGGTCTCCAGCCTAGGGTGGGGTGGCTTTTTGTCATGCCTTCCATGGCCTATCTGAGGAATGGCTGGGAATGGTTGGAAGTCACCTGTCCCCTAGGAGCTCAGACTAGGGACAGAGATACAATTGAGAGAACAGGGAGGGGAGTAAAGAGTGCCTGAGATCCACGGAGGGGAGTCTAGGGAAGCTTAGAGAAGGAAGTAGGCCTTTGGGGAAAGCTTGAAGAAAAGGCAGGATTTGGACCTTAGATGGGCCTGGTAGGCTTTGGGGATAGAAGGAACACAAGAGCCAAGATGCTGAGATCAGAATGGACTCAATGGATAGTACTCTGCAGGATGTGAGACCAGGTCCAACAAGGCCAGATCATGGGTAGCCTGCTCCCAAGGTCTCTATGTCAAGGGGCCCTTGGGAGGCATCAACTGGAGTGGTGGGTGGCCTATGCCTGGAGAGATCTCCAGAGCTGCTGTGTGGCAAGGAGAAGGGGCTAGAGGAGTGGCGAAGAACAAAGGGAAGATGGACACAAAGCTGGCGGCAGTGGGCAGGAGCGAAACCGCCAAGCCTGAATGGGGGCCCCTGTCCCACAGGTGTGTGGCCCCAGTTCAGGACCATCCAGGATAAGGAAGTCACTATCCTAAACAGCACGGAGTGTGAAAGCCTCTACCACAGGTTCTCCAAAATCCCCTCTGATTCAGATCATCAACTCCCAGATGATTTCTGCAAAGGACGTCAACAGGAACAGTTTTGCTATGTGAGCATCTCTCCCCCTTGCTCACTTGCCTCCAAGGGCACCTGGCCAGGAATGGGGCTGGGGGAACAGGGAAGCCAGGACCTGCGGGGAGGTGGGGAAGGGGATGGGGATGAGCAGGGCTGACTGAGGGGGAAGATAGGAAGATGGGGGAGGGGAGACTTGATGAGGAATGGAGATTGGGAGGAAAGAGATGAAGGTTGGGGTGAGAGAGATGGGCAGAGGGGATGGAGGTTGGAGATGAGGGAGAAGAATGGGAGGCAGTGGGAAGATGGAGGGTGGGTATTAAAGAGATGGGGGATGGAGAACTGGCAAGAGAGAGATGGGAGGTGGAGCCCTTTGAGGAAGGTCTCCTGGGTCAGGACCTCAAGGGCACCCCCTCAGCTATGTGACACTCGGGGGCTGCAGGGAAGGTCTGATGTGAGGGCACCCTGCTTCTTCCTGAGCTGGATTAAGTCTCCCTTGGACTACATCTGGCCTCCTTTTTTTGTTTCCCCCACCCCTCCCCACAAGAGATAAGTGGTGAGCCCTTGGCCTGTCCTGTGGAGAGCATATGGTACCTGGTGGGAATGGTGAGCTGGGGCCCAGGCTGCAAGAAGAGCAAGGCCCTGCCCATCTACCTACACATCTCCTCCTGCCAGTAGTGGGAACGCCTCAATGGGCAGACGCTGCCAGCCCCATCCAGGGCCCTGCTCCTGGCACTCCTGCTGCCCCTCAACCTCCTCGCTGTCCTCTGACACTCGTGCCGTTGTCTCTGGGTGCACCCTCCCTTGCCCAGGCCCCTCCTCACCCTCTGTGCAGCTCTCACAGCCTCATAAGGCAGGGCAGAGACTAGGTGCTCAATTAAATGTTTCTCTTCCCCATGCTTCCTCCTTCCTGGGCCTGCTACAGTGGGAGATGAGAAAACCAGACAGGGGTGGGATGGGCAGTTTATACTGAAAAGTACAGAGCCCCAGGATCTGCCTCCATCCAAAGGTTCAGGGTGGCTACCACAGAAGGTGGAGGGAGTGTGTAGGGATGATATTGGGGTCCGATGATGGAGGGCCTAGATACTGGGGTCAGATGATGGAGAGTCAGGCTGAAGCTGGAGCTGCCAGGACGCAATGTGAGGCTGGGAATAAGGGTGCAGCTCTGTCTGGGCTGGGGAGGTAAGTGTGTTCTCCTTGACTTTGGCCCATCTTCTGGCCGGTGGCTAGAACATACCCTGTTTTTGCCCTGAAGCACTGTAGTGGACTTTGACCTTCCAGCCCTGTCCCCTGTCTGGAGGCTGGGGCAGATGCCCACTGGGATCAGATATTATCCCCACCATCATCAGACATGCCTGTCCATAAAGGGCTAGTGGAGGCCCAGGTCAGAGGTCAGGGAGGCAGCTGGCAGGGCAGATGTAGCCCGGGCCTGGACTTACCCCAGGCATTACCAGCTGCTTCTCTGACTTATAGTGGCTCCTGCTCCTCTGGGCTTCTGCTGCCCAGCCAACAGGAGGGCTCTGGCTTGTATGAGTAGAATGATCTTTGCCACAGCCATATGTATGAGAAGCCCATAGGCTGGAGCCCAAGGGCAGAGTCAGGGTTCCCACTTGGTGGCGCAGTGAGTACTCAGCTTCCACAGCAGGGCCTTCTGTAATCTCTCTGCTCCCTCATGGCTGTAAGACCCCATGCTCCTTCCCCCATGCCAGCCTGGTTCCCTCTTCTTGTGTAATAATGGTCCAGGTCCAGATCAGAATCCAGGTTTGACTCCTCTGTGTCCCAAGCACCCACTTATTGAAACCCAGGGTGTGGAGCAGAGGCAAGTGGAGAGCAGGCAGCTTCCTCCCTGGTCCTGCTGCCCTGCCTCAGGGCTAGGCCCCACTGGCTGCAGCTGACCCTCTGCCTCTTGGCCACCACCTCTCCCTCCAGCTCATCTGAATTCAGGCTGGGAGAAAAGTCAGGAGAGGGAACGTCAGCCTGGCCTACACCACCTATCATCGATCACTGCATCACCCTCCACATAAGTGCTCCAGGGATGGGGCATCCTGAGGGGTCATCTCAGGTCACTCGGGTATGAGAAGGCACTCAGCTTTATTTACAAATCTCTGCAGGCTGCAGAGTCAGCGTCAGCTTTGCCAGCAGCTCCCCCTGGCTCGGAAATCTCCGGTGTCTCCTTAGTCTCCAGGCCCAGGTCTGAGTACCTCAGTTGATGTTCGCTGCCATCTAGAAACCCTTCTCTGCATCTGCCCTCCCCAAGGATTCAGTCCCCAGGTCAAGTTTGAGCCTTCACCTTCTGGCTAGCAGTGCTTCTTTTAGGCACCGTTGTTAAGAATGGAAGAGGAAGCTCTGGGCTGTTATATTCAGCACGTGGAAGGCTGGTTGCTACCTCAATCCCTAACTGCCCCCTGCGGTGATCTCCTGGGGTGCTGACACCTGCTACCACAGCTGAGCCTAGAAAGGGCCAGCAGAAAAACCCAAAGTCCCCCTTGGCTTCTCAAATTTTCCCTGTATTCCCAAGATGGGGCCCTTCTCTCTCTGGCCCACTGGCCTCAGCCTTCTGCACCCCTGCAGCCCCTAGCCCTGAGCCCATGGGCCTCATGCTAGGCCCTCCAGCAGCCTCAGCTGCATCACAGCGTGTAAGACAAGTGTACCCATTGCTTAGAGCTCGGTATCTGCTATGCTGGGGGTTCTGCTTCTGGTCTCCCTCTGCTCACTGCCCTGGGACAGAACCCCTGCCAGGCTTGGGGCAGCCCCCTCATCACCAGAGCTGCTATCCAGCTAAGTTCGAGAACCTTCTGCTGCCCCTGCTTCCCCCAGTGACCCTCTCTCTCCTCATGGCCAGCCTGGTGTGGCCTCACATCTAGCCCATCCGGGTCAGCCATCCCCTTCCAGAAGGAAACCCACATCCCATTACCCCTTTAGCCACTGCTGTGCCTGGCAGAAGAGGGGACAGAGGCATGTATGGGTGGGTAGAGGCCACTTTGGGTCTACAGAGGGACAGTGGCCCAAGACCACCTCTGCTGAGTGGCCACTTGGATGGGGTGACAGGAGTGGAGTCCAGGCTGGGAGGCAGCACACCTAGTGAAGTCATATCCTTGCCCCAGTAGGCTCTAGGACAGGGTCCTGGGCCTCAGCAACCCCCTCTGAGCAGGGAGAGGGTGTTCTGCAACCTCTATGGTCCATGTATGCGCTTGGAGTCTAAGATGTCCGGACTCTGGCCAGGACTATGAGCCCCAGGGCCAGCTAGCCCCAGCCTCCACCTCCAGGAAGCTCTCTTCATTTCTCTTCTTTCTTCTTCTTGGCCTCATTCTTCTCATCCTCCTCTACCTTGATGGCCACTGTATCCACACTGTCCTTCTTCTTCTTCTTCTTATCACCTGTGGAGCAGAGGAAAAAGGGTGCAACAGGAGTGAGACAGGGTCCTAGGGCCTGCACCAGAGCCTCCCAGTCCAGCCCTTCATTCCTTCTTCCTTCCAAACCTCTCCTACCTGCAGAATAGCTCCTTGTTTTCCCTGCCTCACTCTGACCCATTTCTTTGCTCTGGTCTCCAAAAACAGGGCTGGGTCCCCTCCCTGAACCAGGTGGAGGGGAGGAATAGGGCAACTCTGGGTGGCAGGATGGAGGAACTGGCCAGTGTGGCAGAGTCGGAGGGTGGCGGGGCTGGGGGCCAGGCCTGCTCACCTCCAGGGACTTCTGTGAGCTCATCGAGGGGTGGCACAGTCTCTAGTTTGTCCGTGTATATCTTGGCTGCCTTTCGCTGTAGGTACCGGGCTTCAATCTCCTTCCGGGTCCGTGGCACGCGGCAGTTGAAGACACAGCAAAGAGTGATAACTACGGGGAAACAGAGCAGGCTTGGCAAGGGCCAGAGCTCAGACACCCCAGGAATGGTTCCCAAATTTCAGGCCTGTCTCCATCTACCTATGTGTGTCCCACCCAAGAGACCCTCTCAGGAGGCTCCACATTTTGACAAAACCCCTGTGGGCTCTGGGATTTTCAAAATATCTTTCCTGAGCCGGGCTGGCTTCACATAGTAGGCCCACTTTCAGGAGGGCCTTGTGCTTGGTTTGTTATTCTGCTGTCACTTCCTTGAAATTCTTAATGATTTTTGAACAGAGGAGCTCACAATTTCATTTTGCACTGGCCCCGTATATTGTGTTACCAGTCCTGGTTCTGGTGGGTCTTTCTGACTAGACTGAGAGGTCCTGGAGGGCAGGCAGTGGGCTGGACCATGACTCAAGCTACAGCCTCCTGGAGGGTGTCCTGTGCTTCTAACCCAGGCCTCTGGGCTCCTGTGCATCCTAGTTTTTCCTCCCCAGGCTCCTGAGAGCACCTCAGACCCTGGAGGACATGGCTGCATCCTCCTCAACCTCCCTGAGGACAAGCCAGGGCTGCTCCTGGCTGTGAGAGCGTGAAAGAGGGCACAGACCTTGCCCCGGCGCGTTCACCTTAGACAGGGTTATTCCAGGAGTGGTTTTCTGGCTCAGGGCAGCTGTGCCCACGCAAGCTGGCCAGGGCATGGAGCTGGCCTGTCTAGGGATGGGCAGGGCAGGGCTGCCAGGACCCGGCTGGACTGAGTTTATTTTTCTAAGGCCCCTACAGTCTGACCACCTTGGCCCCAGCCTCAGGGGAGGGGATGGAGCTGCTTCCTATTATAAATCAGATGACCAGACATAACTTCCTGACAGACTCCTAGGGGCAGGAGGGCCAGGCGGACAAGTCAGGCCTATTTTGGGGAAGATAGATCAGACCCATGTGGCCTGGGCTGGAGCACCCCTTGGGGTCATCTTGTGCAACCCCTTCAGCCAATGTTGTGGTCCCACTGAGTCTCCCCCAGACTCACAGAATGAGAGAAAACAAATGAATGAGGTGGTTTCAAAGCCTTTGTGGCTGAGGACAGGACTGGACTCCTGAATAAATGGATGGGGTGTCAACAGCATCCAGGAACACATGGTGGGGGGTTAGTTGTGCAAGGGTCCCAGCAGTAGGTCTGCCTTTCTTACCCAAAAACCTGGGTTCTGGTCCTCTCCAGACCCCTGTATGCCAGAGGTCCAAGGTTGGACCTCCACCCTACTGGCTTGGACCACCTCTTCCAGCTACCCCACCAGGTGCCTCCTCAGGACCATGCCCATGCTCTCTGCAAAGGCTGGAGGCCTGGGCTTTAAAGGGAGCTCAGCCACAGCTATTGGCAGTCAGAGCAGGACTCCAGCACTGCCCCTCACTCCAGGCCTGCCCCACCCAGCCTGGCCTGTTTGCTTCTCTTCAAAGAGGAGAGAAACAAAGTTCCTTGGATCGAGTTCCAGGCCCAGGCAGGGGCTTGGGATAGGAGTCCCCAGGCTGGAGGGGACCCCAAAGAGGTACCCCATCCAACTCCAGCTCTCTCCACAAGGTTCTGGGGGTGATGCTCCACAAACAGCTGTACCACCTAGGCCCAAGCAGACAGGGAAGTGGGAAAGATGTTTCCTCCCCAAGAGATGGCGTTCCCTACTCCCTAGAGCCCTGAATAGAGGGTAACAAATGCTAAACTGTTGCTCAGAGGCCTTTGGGACTATCCTTTACCTTTCTCTAGGAAATGGATTTAGGAGAGGAAGTCAGTCTGTGTGGTTGAGGTCCAAGTGCCTTTTTGGGCCTGACACTGCAACTTTCCTATGTGGCCCCAGGTACTTCTACCATCTAGGGCCAAGCAGAGCCCTGGAGAAACCATTGTGTGTCTTGAGGCCCCATGGTGCCCTCATCCCTGCTTCTTGGGGTGCCCCAGAGCTGCTCCTTGGACCTGCACCCTGGATTGCTCCTGTGGCCCCTGCAGGGCAGATACCTCCCCCAACCCTGCCTCTTGGTACTGGGGGTTATTCCCCTCTCTGGACACATGAGCTGGGGCTGCAGCCACAGCTGTTTCTCTGTGGGGCCTCCACTCAGAAGCCTGACTGATCATTGGCCGTGGCTAGGAACAAAATGCAGGCTCTTGCTCTCACTCCAGCCGGGAAGACATGGGGGCGTGGAAGGGCACTTCTGGTGCCAGGAGAAGCACATGCAAATTAGAGGTCCTTGCCTCCCCTGGAGCCCCCGCATCTGGATGGGCCCTTCTGGTCAGCCCTGCCCCCAGGCTAGCTCCAGCTAGGACTTAAATGCTCCTTTAGCCCCTGACCCGGGTGCACTCAGTAAACGTCTTATGGGGGTTACCTGAGACCTGTGTGGAGGCCATTTCCTTGCACCTCTGCCCACACTGTACCTCTGCCTGTAATGCCTTTCCAGCTGCCTAACACAAAACCACTCATCCATCCTACCTATCTACAGCTTGGAGGACCCCTCCTCCATGAACTCTTCGCTGGGGGAGTGTGTTTTCTTTCTCTTTACTGCCTGTGCCCCACTCCTCCCTTTGGCCTGTAGGAACCTCTGTCAGACTCTGCTGTGTACCTGGCGGCCTCTGCCATCCAGTTGGCGTTTCTCGGCCCCCTTTTCCCCAACTCCAGACCCCAACTCTGGAAGGACAACTGAAGGGAGCATGCCAAACCGGCTTCTGTTGCGACTTCGCATCAAGCAACTCCCAGGTCCGAGAGAGGAAGGGGGTCTCCTGCTTTTGACTGAGGTAGGTGAGTCGTTCCAGGGAAATGGTATTTGACAGTGCAGGGTTTGCAGCCTGGGAGCCACATTTGCTGGTGTCTGGGGAGCCTTTGGGCTGAGCTGCAGCCAAGGGTGGCCTTGCTGGGGCCCCTGGGTGTGGGTGTTTTAAGCTGGCCAAACTGCAGAAAAAGCATGAGGAGGCCAACGATAGGGAAAAATGACACGTCTTCATCCTGGTTCAGTGGAGTCCCCTGTAATTACCATAATTGCCGTGTGGCTGCATCGCTGGTCAGGCAGAATACTTCAGGTCACCACCGGCCTGTCAGCCCTCCACAGGGACTTTGTGTGGATCAGGAGGTGCCAGAAACCACAGCGGGCCTCCTGTGGGCGCCTGGCCTGCCTGC